GATCAATTAATTGTTCCCTACAAATCATATCATTTTCACGTTTACTTGGACTGTCAAATAAAATATAATGTGAACAGTTAATCCGAATATCCTTTGGTGTTTTATAGTAAGACTGACTCAAATAGATAACACAGCAGTTCTTATGACGTCCTTGCATAAAGTATTTTGTTATTTCTTTTTGATCTTCGCAAATAAAATCATCAAATATTACTATATTTTGTTTTGATGAGTCAATATCATCAAGATCAATGATGTCTGAATTTGATAAGTATAGAATATCCTCTGGTTCTACTTTAATCTTTTTGGCAATTGCATTGAAAGAATCTATTAAGTCTCGATATTTTGATTGTTCCAAGTTTTTTGAATAGAGGTATAATTTATCGTAATAAACTAATGGTTCCCTTAGCATGTGTATAAGAGTGTTTGTTTTACCTGATCCTGAACATCCACATATAAGCATTCTAAAACATGAGTCTGGCATATAGGAATATAATTGCTTAAAGTTATTATCAGATTTTCTATATTTTTCATAATTAGGAATTTCCATTATATATAACTAATCTTACATTATCTTACATTATCTTACATTATCTTACATTATCCTACATTATCTTACATTATTATATAAATGTTATCAAAACTAAAAGAAATGACAAAAAAAAAGATTGAATCTGAACAAAAAATTAAACATATACGTAATCAAATTATTGAAGATAAAATAAGAAAGCGTGCAAGCAGGGAAATGTATACAGAAATTTACAAACCAATCACTGAAACCTTAGAAGATCAAAAAAAAAAAACATTGTTTAGTCAGTTAAAAGCATTGCCTGGTCTAAAAGACGAATTGGCATTACTTCCGAGGCGATTTGTTGAAAAGATACAAGAAGCTGAAGCTCTAAAATTGTTTGAAGAAGAAGCACCAGGAACATTACCCCCTCCAATTACAATTGAATCCCCGCCTTCATTAGAGGAAGAAGATAATAGTAGTGAGGAAGAAGATAATAAGAGGAAAGAATTTACAGTTAATTTAAATAAGCAGGTTGATCTAGATTTATTAGACGATATATATAACACACCACAGGAGATTTTTGATTTTTATCATACTAAGTCCGATAATCCTGATGAGAAAATGACTCGTGAAGAAATAATGAACATAATTGATAGTGCATCAGGTAATATAAAAAAGTATAGTATGAAGGTAGCTGGATTCACGAGAAGGAAACATGCACTCACAACAAAAGAAAAAGAAACGAAAGAAATGTATCGCAGAAAGGTAGATAATTATAAAAACTACAGAAATACGTTACAAGATATTCTTTCACAAGATAAATATATGGGAAAAGGTTTGAATAAAGGAATAAGGAATTCATATAAAGTTTCTCGAGATGGGCAATATGGTAATTTATCTATTAATCTACATAAACTGTATGGTCAAAATATATTAGTAGCGAAAGATAAGAACACTGGGAAAGAGGTAATGAACACAAAGGTAGATGATGATTTTATTGATTTAATAAATAAAAGATATGATAAAAAGAAAACATATTCCTTACATTCAAGAAAAATATTTCAGGATTTAACAGAAAAATCAAAACTACCATTTAACAAGAGATCTATGAAATTTAAAAAGGTAATAACAGGATCAGGCATTTGTGCTTGTGATCCAAACGAATTAATGAATGATTTAAAGTTAATTTGTGGTTCGATTGATGCTGGAAATAATAATCCAGAGTTAACAAATGAAGGCATTCGCATTATCGATTCATTATTAAAACTGAAGGTATTAAGTCCGGAACAACATGAAAAATTATATAAAAAGTATTTTATATAATGGAACAAAAAATTGTATTAAGTTCTGAAGTGGTTCGAAGAAATAATAATAATAATAAAAATACACCAAGTGAATTCACAGTAAGATTTAGTCGTCCTTTAGTTTTAGATAAAAATAAAAGATATATTGTTGGATTAGACTCAATAAATTCAATGACTTACTCTTGGCATAATATAAGTGATGAATATGATAATAAGAGAATTCGCTATAATAATGGTAAGGAATGGAAAGACATTTTCTTTACAAATGGTTCTTATTCTTACACAGATATCAATAATTACATAAGAGAAACATTAATAAGTAATAATGATTTCGATGGTGCTTCTGCCATAGCACCTATAAGTTTAGAATTTGATTTGAGTAGTTTTAAAATTCTAATATCACTTATGGATAATTTTTCATTAGATTTTACACTGTCAGAATTTTGTAAACTTCTTGGTTTTAAAAAGAAAAAAGTAAATAAAACAGAATGGGGATCTTTAACACCAAATATAACTAATTCTGTGGATACAATTTATATTCATTGTGATCTGATTGATAATTCACTTGTTGATGGAGAATTTGGTGATGTGATATATGCATTGAGTACTGCGGATTTAACAAGAGCTTATCCTTTTACAAAAGAACCTATTAGGGTTGGTTATTCTGAAATTAATAGAAATATTATAAATTCGATAAGAATATATATTACAGATGTGTTTGGTAGAAAAATTAATTTTAATGAAGTAGAAACAAGTTTTACATTAATTATAAAAGAAATGTAAATTATATAATGCACAAAAAAGTATATGATGAAAATAGTGGAGTTATATATTCATGTTGATAATTGGACGGGAGAAGGTATCTCCTCGCGTGCAGGAGGTTTTTTTGACACTTTATTTTCTTCTGTAGGTAAAAAAGTATTAGAAAACTGTAGGTAAAACTGCTATTGAAAGTGGCGCCAAAAAGGTGGGAACTGAAGTCGGAAATTTAGCTGCTGATAAAATAACAGGTGTATTTAAAAAGAAGAAACAACCTCCGCCAGTTGGCGATAAAATTGTAAAAGAATTAAGAAAGAAGGATACTGAGGACATAAATTTACAAATAAATGAATTGTTATCTGGATCAGGAAGACGAGATATAAATTTACAAATAAATGAATTGTTATCCGGAAGGCGATTATTTAAAAAAGATATATAATATATATGTTTCGATCAAAACAATACTGTGAAAGATATGAAAAAACACCTATTCGATTAGATACACCTTTAATAACAATCCTGGACAATAACGTCACCCAGCAGAAAAATGGATATTGTTTTACTATAAATGATAGATCTTCATATTATGATTGGTTCAATGGGTATTTTGAGGTAAATTTTAAAATAAATAAACTGGCAAACGGAGCTAATTATGATAATGCTGATCAAATTGCTGTAATAAACAATGCAGCTTCATTAATTGATCAATTAGTTATAAAACAAAATGGAAAGAATGTATATGATTGTTATAACTTATATAGGGTTGTGAATGTAAGAAATTTAGTTGAATTAACAAAAGATTATGCAGAAACAACTGGGACAAATGAATTAATTGCTTTGGATTCTACAAATGTAGCTGAATCTAGAGCTAATCAGGCTGGATTTAATAAAGGTTTTGCTGCAAGAAAATTATTAGCTCAAGGAGGTAATGAAATTAAATGTAAAATCCCTTTAAACAATTATTCATTTTTTCGGAGTTTAGAGACAAATATGTTGCCCCCTAGCCAAATTCAAATTACATTACAATTAACAAACGACGATGAATTAATCCATAAGGCAGCTGGAGTTGGTGATGGAAGAGTTATAGTTACTAAACTTATCTTATGGGTTCCTCGGTTAATCTTTAACGCTGAAGGATATAGTTTGATTTCTGAACATTATTTGAAAGCAAAAAAGTGGAACTATCTTCGAGAAAGGGTCACACAATCATCTGATATAGAACAAAGCAATATTATTTTTAGAATAACAGCTGGTGTAATGAATCCTAAACATGTGTTTGTTTATTTACAAAGAGCTAATAAAAGTAATTCACAAGAACAAAACCCTCATTTATTAGATACTTTTAAATTAAATGCTAATAATAGCACTTGTACTTTGCAATCTTGTCGTCTTGAAGTTGGAAATGGTGTTTTTTACCCCGAAACAGAATATTCTAGTATAACGAGAATATATGACGATGTAATAGATTATTTTCACAAACAAAATGATAAAAATACTGGGTCTCTTTTAAATATATCAAACTTTGAGGGTTTGTTTGGATTCATTCATTTTAACTTGGAATTTAAAAAAGAAGAAATTGCATCTGATCCCAAGCATCTTACATTAGATGCAAAATTAAATGTACCGCCAGCTGCAGCTATTCGTGTCTATGCCATTGTAATGTATGAAGAAACAGTTCAATTAAATACTATTGGAAATGAAATTGTTATTGTTTAAGACAGACGTCTTTGATGAAAAAAAATAATTATATAAATTATATAAATGTCTTACGTTGAATATAAAATAAATTTATCAGAAGGACAAAAGCACAAACTTGCGAAATCATAAAGAGATAAATGCCCTTATACTTTAAGATTGAAGTATGAAGATTTAAATGGTACTTTCCCAATACTTTTAACACAGACACAAATAAATAAAATTGATAGGGCTAAACAGAATAAATCTGGCTTAGAAATTAAGATATCGCGGGAACAAATGCGCAGTCAAGGCGGTTTTCTCAACACTTTAATTCCGTTTATTACAAAATTGGCTCCAAAAATATTAGCCCCTTTAGGTGTTGGAGCATTAAGTGGTTTGGCTAGCACTGGTGTAAGTAAAATACTTGGAAACGGTATGGTATCTGTAGCAAGAAATAAAAGAAATAAAATATTACCATTTATTACACCACAGCAAAGAAAACAATTAATGAATGACGGGGTAATTAAGTTAAATAACAAGCAACGGCAAGATGGTGGTTTCCTTGGTATGTTAGCAGCATCTCTAGGAATACCTTTAATTACATCATTATTAAGTGGCAAGGGTTTACAGGTTGATGCACAACGAGTTCCATATAGACGAATTCCCAGGGTAAAAAAAAAATAAAATTCCTGAACAAACCATTATCTAACTTTAAAATAGAACAATGGGTAAAACAACTTGGTATTCAAAACTTTCAAGGCGTCTTCAGTAGAAATAATTTACCTTCTAATAGTAAAGAATGCGGGATAATAAATTTAGATGACTTTATTGGACCGGGTACACATTGGGTGTGTTATTACAGAAATAATTACTTCGACCCTTTCGGACTTCCTCCACCAAAAGAGGTAATCAGTTACATTCCAGGTTTGAATTATAACAATATACAGTATCAAGATAAAACAAGTGTGCTGTGTGGTTATTATTGTTTATATTTCATATATTTATTACAACAGAAAGTGTCTTTATATGATATATTATACAAACATTTAAACATCAATAATCAAAAAGAAAATGAACAAACAATAATAAACTATTTCACTAATGTTTAAAAATAGTCTGCCGACACCCGTCGGTTTGCGACTCTACAAAAGTTTTCCAAGCCTCCAACACAGCGAATGGTAAAATCAGCCTGCCGACACTCGTCGTTTTGAGCCTCTACAAAAGTTTTCCAATACAAGAACCTTCCCTTACAAGAGCCTTTTAGGCTCGTCGGTCCCCTTACAAGTTTTCCAATATTCAACACAGCGAATGGAAAAATCAATCTGCCGACACTCGTCGTTTTGCAACTCTTATTCCACGGATATTCAATATTAATTTATTACCATTTCAATTCATCAAATATCCGTGGAATAACACTCCAATGCTTTTGTAGAAAATGCAATGACAATGAACAATGAATTATATCATAATGATTGAGTGAAAACTTGTACAATTTAATCAAAAAGTTACAGTGTGAAATTTTGTATGGCATGTCATTTTCTATTATTTTGTTTAAAAAACCTCCTTTTTCAAAATCCTTGATTTTTTTTAAAACCTCTCCTTTTTGAATATTATAAAACAACTTTGTTCTTCCAGCACTCTGCGTATGTCTGTCTAGTGTTTTTAAAGTTTTAAAACAGCTGTCGGTGTTTTCAAGCTCCAACGTAACCTCTCCAGCCAAGTTCCGATCTTTTGAATATGATTTTTGTACCTCATTTTTCACTTGATTGTATGTTTTTTTTGCTTTTGTTTTATTACTTTGTTGACGTAGGTTTTGTTGCACATCTGGAACCTGCTGCAACGATTTCAATCCCAAATCGTTAATCTTTTTTATTTCATCTGTTCTTATTAAGTCTTTTTGTTTATTATTCAACGAAGCCATTTGATCTTCTGTAACTTGTTGTTGAGCATGATCTTTCATAAAATTATGAATGTTAGAAATGTACTCAATTGTGTTTTTATAAGTACACATTTTACTGCATTCATCGTGCGTAATTACTTCTCCGTTCTCCGTTTTACGAGAAAGAAAATCTTCCAGGGATTTTATATATTTAAACATCTCTATCTCAAATTGTTCAGCCCTAAAATAAAAACAAAATTTAATGATTAACGAAAGAACTTCTTAGATAAAAGAATAAATAATTCATTTACTATATTTGTTAAAGAAAAATGGTAAAACAACTTACATTCTGTCTAACCACTCTGTATTCCTGGCTGATGAAATAATAACAACGCATTTAACATCTATTGAGCTGCACACTAGGCGAATGTTCTGGATGACGTTTCACTATTGATCTTTAGCGGAAAACTGTACACGTGATACGGAACGACATATTGATTTATAGGCTGCAACTATTTAAAAGTTGGTTCCGGATAAACATTTTTTTTACTCATGATTAGCCGCCTTGTTTTACAAACTTAGATTTCAATTTACCGCATGAAGCACACGCGGCTTTTATCATTAATCTTCCGTTTTTTGTTGTAACATATTGAGGATTTACATTATCGGTGTATGTTCGTTCTTTTAAACAATATATTTGTTTTTGTAAACTCATTTATATATATTTTAATTATAAAAAAGGACTCGTCGGTTCCCGCCTGCCTTATAGTATTCTATTTATGAGTAGTATAGAGTATGATGGTTCCGGGGGGATTTTGGCCTGAGGGTGTTCTTAAATCAATAAAATGGGGTTTTATGTCGAGCTGTCTTACTTTTTGGGTTGATGGGTAAGCTATGTCGAGCTGTCTTACCCTTTGGTTTGATAGATAAACACTTTTTTAGGCTTCAAAGTGTCCCGGAACCATCATACTCTATACTACTGACCTTGCTATGCTTTTGAGCTATAGATATTGGATTATTTTAGGAAGACGATATGTATTGAGCAATCAAAACACACTTCTATATTGATATTGCATTTTATGTGTTTCATAGGCATGTGATATTTATATAGCCATAATATGTATTTATGTATATTTCTCTGAACAAAAATCGGTGTAATGCATAAATGCAATAGTCAGTTGTACCACGCCCATCACGGGGAATAGCAACGGACTTTGATTTTGGGTCTCCCGCCCCAAAGTGGAAGCCCCGCCCTGCGAAGACAGCAATCTGGTCAATACCCTGTGCTAGTCTCCTTCTTAGTCATCGTCGGATACCCATGGTTGATTAACATGTAACATAGCATGAGTGTTTAAATGATTCGCTCGTGGGTATCCAACAATGTGTCCTACACTGAAATGAACGCTTTTCACCGGCACCCAGAGCCGCACAGCTATAATTAAGTACCTTATAAATGTATGTCAGTGACATATATATTTTCAACAGTATTTTTATATCTTTCCACTATAATCTAAATGTACCACTATTTAATTATTCTCATGGTTTGTACAATCAGTTATCTTACAAGTTTCATAACCTTTTTGATAAAAATCATTTTATACGAAACATAATAAGTAAAAACCTTAATGAACTTTTTGAACAGTTTTGAACACAAAATGATCTTGATAGAACGACCCTTATTTTGTAAAGAAACTATTTCAGCTTGTAAGAAAACTACTTTTAAATTCTGAATAGACCGCGGTTAAACAGATTAGTAAATCGATTTTAAAAGAAATTATGTACAGTACAAGAGTAAGATAAATTTTTACTCATTCTACCTAAGTCTACAGTATTTGTCCTCTTTTTTATTTTATATTGTAACCAAGACAAAAAAAATGAATTGGTTTGTGTGTAATTCTTTTTTATGTCCCAGATTGTAATTAATGTTGACCCCCTTTTTCTTTTTCCATAAGACACAAACAAATTAATCATAATTATGTTAGTAGACCAACCCTCTCCTGAATAAGGCCCCGTTGCATATTTCCGGGGTTAAAGTTTATGTAGGCCTCATATATACCAAAGAAAATGGATAACCAGACAGAGCCGTTTTTCGATTGAACGGTGTGGTTCTGTCCCGTACGGAATTTAGCCAAACTAAAAAAAAGCAGCGGTTATCTTTCTTGAGCACTCTTCTCAAAATCCGGTGACAACATGAAGGTTTCAGTTTGCATTTTCTTTGCATTTTTATCAATTTCTTTGGCTAGTAAAGATGCCAACGTTAAAGAAATGGAAGAAGAAAAAGTTGATGTTGATTCGGAAAAATTAGAGTATGCTAAAGGATCTTTGTGTGGCTATTGTGATTACTGCAAGGTAAATTACATGACCCGGTATTTGCAGGGGTTATTTCAAGATTATGATAGAATAATCAGTTTGGTTTTAATTTGTCATTTGCTTAGATATTGACGACATATTTGATAATTTTGTAAGATTTTGTTTATATTTCAAGAAATGTAGATAAATTTGTGTATATTTTCTTAGTATGAGTATTCAAGCACGTGTTCAATGATAGAAGATAATGTTAGTTTTGAAATGCCCCCTCTGTGTGTGTCAAACTTTGATTGGTTCAGTGTTAAAAATGCATTTTGACCTTTCCTTATGAAACTATATAAATAAATATTAAGTTAAACCAGGATTTGTTTGTATTTACATATAATTCTAATATTGATATAAGCAACTTTTTATACTTATTATATAAAATTTGAGAAGTATAATAATAAATTGATCTTCATCAACGTTATTTCTAAAGTGAATGCCAAGCTCAAGTTTTTATACAGGCAGAGCAGACTTTTAGATACTAAAACAAAACAGCTTTTATGTTCAGCCCTGATTCAGTGTCATTTTGACTACTCTTGTTCCTCTTGGTATGAAGGTTTATCAAAACATTTGAAAAGAAAGTTACAAATTACTCAGAATAAGGTATTAAGATTTGTCCAAAACTTACCGCCCAGAACTTCTGTAACAGTGTATGAGTTTGAAAAATTAAATTGGTTAAATGTAGAAAACAGAGTCAAACAGTTAAGACTAAATCATATGTATAAGATTTTTTACAAAAAGAGTCCATCATACCTTAGAGCCGACTTTAGATGTTGTGCTGATGCAAAATTTTACAATACTAGATCAAGCAATTTTAATTTTATTGTCCCCCAGTGTAATTCTGTGATGAAACAGACCTTTTATTATAATGGAATTAAAGACTGGAATGATCTGCCAGAATATATAAAATCCATTAATAATTTTGTGCAATACAAAAAATCTGTTAAAAAGTACCTACTAGAAAGCTATAAAAGTCTTTCAGAAGATATATATGTGTACAACTAATGTGTTGGGCACTGTGATCAAATATTTCTGTGATAGTAATACTAGGCTTATTTTAATAAGGGCATACTTTTATAAATATATTTCCTTTTTCAACCAAAATTTTGACCAAAGTTAGTTAGTTTATTTTTTATCTTGTTTGTTTTTTTAGGGGGGGAAAGGGTTAAAATTATGTTAGTTTTTATTTCTATGGACCCCATTGGAAATAAGCATTTAGCTTAATGGGCTATCCATAGGTGCATAGTACCTCTTATTTTATTTTTTATGACAAAAGTGTGCTCTTTTATGCTGTTTTATGATCTCATTTTATATATATGAATTATTTATGTTATCTCTTAACTGTATGATTTTATATTTTGTATCTTGTGCTATGTTCCTAAAATGTATAAATAAATAAAAATAAAAAAAAACTGTTATTGGTTAAAGCACTTAAAAATTAGTTCTCTTTAAAAAAAAAAGAAAGAGAAGAATAAGGTGCTCATTCACTCGCTGTTTAAGTAAGACTGCTTATCTAATTTGTAGTTTCTTGTCAGTTATATATAACCACAGGAAATTGACATTCTATAGGCAAATATACCCCTCTATACTATAAAGAAACACAAGGAATGCAACGCCTTTTGCACACTTTTATCTAATTACAGACATGGAAAATCAATGTCAACAAACTAGTTTAGCAATTTCGATACACAATACAAAATTATACCTTTTACAACCGCTGATATTTTAAATCAAAGCATTGCATAAAAATAAATTGGCAATATTTACTCAAATGTCAACAAATAATTTTGTCTGGCACTCCATGCGCTGACGTCACTGACTATACTGTTACGGACTGAAGATAATTATTTATTTTTTCCCCTAAAAATCTATTTTCTATAGCATTAGTTTTAAATAATTCTAAATAACTAAGGTGTCAAATGTTTCACATATTTTTGTTCTTTTTATTAAATAGAAACAAAAATAAACTCCCAAAAACCAATTGGGAAACGTAACTCTAGCATAAAAGGGAAGTAACTTGGGCTTCTCATCAGAAAATTTTCATGACATTTCATAGTGTGCGTAAATTTCTGTTGTATAAACGGTTTCATTTGGTGATTTAATCATAAAGAATGGCCTTTTAACTAAACTCATGCTATGGGAAATAGATTATTAGGAAAAAAATTTATAGTTTATATTCAGCCCAGATCAGTGTAGTCACTGACGTCAGCGCATGGAGTCCCAGACAAAATTTTTTGTTGACATTTGAGTAAATATTGCCAATTTATTATTATACAATGCTTTGATTTAAAATATCAGCGGTTGTAAAAGGACTAATTTTGTATTGTGTATCGAAATTGCTAAACTAGTTTGTTGACATTGATTTTCCACGTGTGTAATTAGATAAAATGTGTATCGAGTGTGCAAAAGGCGTTGCATTCCTTGTGTTTATTTATAGTATAGAGGGGTATATTTGCCGTTATTTTTTAATTATTTGCTTATAGAATGTCAATTTCCTGTGATATAACCATACAACATATATGACTTTTTAGTTTTTGCATCCCCAGCATATTTTCCCTTAAACTTAAAGGCTTAGCCTCTAAATTGCTAAAAAGGGTCACTGATACACTCTTACCAATCTCACGGAGGTCCACATGATTTAATAAGGTTGTTGTTTGTAGTTGAGTCAGTATAAACACTGGCGTTCAACTTTAAAAAACTAGAAACTATATTAAGGAGTTCCAGAAAACATGCATAATCTGCTACATATCAGCATAATTTATGCAAACCAAAACTGCTTACAGTGACAAAGTTGATGTGTATATTTATGCATGCTAGAATAATTCAATTACATATATTAAGACATGAAAAAGTAAAGCATTTCCACAATTCATTTTTGATACAGATGAATTGCTGTCAAGTTTTATTAGCAAAATTACTGTTTATATTATAATTATTTATCAAATCAACATAATTTTTCTAAGGATGTTTTCAGTTTTTTAGAAATCATTAGCCCATGTAGCATTGCCGATATTTTTAGAGCTTAGTAAAATTAGAGAATGTTATAATCTTGCTATATTAAATATTATTAATAAACAAAAGGAGATAAAGCATGAAATCATTTTTATCCAAATTGCATTGCTTCTTAAATATTAAAGAGACATTTTAGATGCTAAACAAAGTGTCTAACATAGATTAAAAGGTCTTAATCTGTTCTTGAAAATCATAGAAAATCATAGAAATTAGAATATGGAATGGAAACAAAGTACATGCAATGTGTAACATGTGTTAAATTACTAAGTGATGAATTCAATATTCTTGACAGCATAAAGGAAGCTTGAATCAGAGGAAAGCCAAGCTACATGTACTTTATTTCCAAAGTCATTAATTATGAATGTGAATGTTTTTTATTTAATTAAAGATTTTTAATTGTTTAATGCTATTTCAGTTTTGCAAGCTTTGTGAAGAAGACTGTCCATGTGAAAAAAGTGCATCAAAACCAAACTGTCACATGTGCAAAGTAAGCCTGTTATCAATGCATTTACCAATAAATGTGCATAATTTATTCTGAGATATTGAGTTGTTCACCTTTATAGTGAAGTTTTTATAGCAATTGTAAATAAATTCAAATTTAAGGTAAATTAAACTCCAGCATTTTCTTGATTTTAATGTTTTAATAGTGTCTGAAAGTAGACAGATGAGTACTGTGCCTAATCATTTTACCTCCATTTACTCAAGCAGCTATGAAAAGATGAAATTTTATATTTGACAGCATGAGTAATTTTGTAATGACCTGATGCACTATAAATTATTTAAATAGTTTCTTGTTTATAATTATATTTTATTCTATTTTCAGTACTGCAAGTTCTGTTATCTTTGCTCAGGTGTCTGCAACACAATATGTCAACCAGGTATGTCTTTGTACTTTATTAAAGAAGAATGCCTAAAGATTCATGCTTATTTTCATGAAAATTTAGAAAATGTATTGAAAAGTTATATATTGTGAAGTGAACATTGAAAGTAATTAACACACTGCAAATAGTACTTACAGTACAATGCACATAGATTACCAAAGTGAGGTTAAATTTGTAAAAATGGCCCATACTCACTGCATTCAGTGATTTCTTTTTCAATTTTCAAAACAACCTGTGGCTTTCTGAAGGGGAAAATATAGCGCGATAAATCAGAAAAGGGGAAAATCAAATTCTAACAACTGAGAATGGTTTACCCACACATGTTTTAGAATATTCAATTTCAATTCAATTTAACATCCATGATACATGCAGGGGCGATCTGTAGGGACAGCGTTCTGTCTTAAGCTGATATAAGTCAGCTGCTGTTAAGTCATGGCTCTAGTGAAAAATGTGCAAAGGGCATTTAAGGGGAAAAATAGTAGCATTTTTAGGGGAAAATATACCTATTTAGGGCTAGGGGAAACAGCCTTTATTCATCTGTAAAATGCAGGGAAAAAAATCACTGGCATTAGTTAAGCAGAAGAAATGATTGTGATAAATGCTGCAAAATAAATCATTAATCAGGCCTTAAAAAAAATTGATGTGTTTCTGGTGGCGAGGCGAAAAAAAGTAGGGTCGGTAGGTCAGACTTTTTTTTTTTTTTTTTTTTTTAGTCAATCAACGATTGTAGATATGTCAGATACGGATTATATGTACTTTAAATTATATTCTATAGCATATAAAAGTACTTAAAATGCTAGACTACCAAAACCTAGTCTTCAATATTTTATTTTGAAATAAATTTTACCAATGGCATGACTCGACTTTCGTTTTAATTTTTTTATTCTTACCGAACAACTGGCTTCAATTTTAATATTATCACTCTTAACATGACCATGCACGTCCGAAAAATGTTTTGAGCTGTTTTGCTGTGGTCTATTAATTTGATTTCCTGTTTTGCCAAACTATGATCGTATTTTTAAAGAAAATCGCCAGCAGTGACACTTCGGCTGCTTGTTGTGCCGCCATATTAGCCGGTGCGCGTTAATACATAATTGGAACCCGAATCAATTGTGCCTCACATCGTTGTCGACTCGCAATACTAAAACCCGTCTTCGGTACCGGCGCCATTTTTTTTTGTACATCGATAAAAAACTGGGTTGGCGCTAAAAAATAGGGTCGGTCGGGCCACCGGAAACACAACATTATTTTTTTAGGCCTCACATAAACATGTAAATAATAACCTTCTTCTTGAATCATTTAACTTTTCTTCAAATGTTTGTACATTTTTCTCAAGTTTGTTCTGACTGGATGCAAATTGGATCAATAACAAAAATATGTGCAAACAATACTTTGAGTAGGTAAAAATTTTATAGGGATATCTTTGTATAGATTAAAGTTTATTAGTAAGTATTTACAAAATTAAATTGGTCAGGCACAACATAAATTTTTACCAGCTTAGTGTTTTAAATTATTTTTATAAAATTACTATACTGATTAACAACTTGCTGATTTACCAAAATAAATGTGTTACTAAAATTTCATTTGAAATACTGCAATCCTTTTGGACAAAAAATAATTTCAAACGCTAAAGTTCTTTTTGTTAAGTCAAAATATGATCAGGTAAGATCAATTATCAGTTTAATATTTTATTGCTAAAGTGTATATTCATTTTGCTAAAATGTATAATATTGAATCATGGGGAAATCTCATGAATGTTTGCCATTTAATAGCAAACAATTTGCTATCTATCTTAAAGGCATATTTTTGTCTGTGATACATTCTTTAAAATGAGCTATCTGGTGTATTGTACCCCATTTTAGCAGAGCTCGTGTTTATATATAATTTTCAATATTTAAGTATGTTTTATTGGTGAAATAAGTTCAGTTTGATCTGATTTTTCTTTTCATTTTTAGGTGGAATTATTGACAAAGTGTCTGCAGCATTTGTAAAGTAAGTATGTTTTGTTTTAATTTACAAGTTTCTATGTACATACATGTGTACACATACATATTCAGAAAAACAGTAATCCTGTATATAGTATGAAAAGATTAATTGAATCTTTCAAGCGAACTATATTTGTAGTTGGTAAAAACCTGATGTGGAGAGGTTATATAAAAGATAAATCAATTTATTTTGGTGACCTTAGGCAATAATATGACATCAACTGAAAGGTGTAATTTATGACAATAGACGAAAGGCATGTTAAATCAGGACTGTGACAGCTGGACCTTTAATTCATTTTCCACTGATATCAATGTCATATTGTCAAATTTGTGAAAATAAAGACAAGATTTGTGTAAGAACCTAATGATAAACAACTATGCAACAGCATTGTAACATCTTAAGAATTTGTTTAGATGTTTTGCTGGTAATCTTTTAGGCACCCTCATGAAGTATAAACTTTCCAACAAGTTGGATTTTTATACGCCTGTTTGAAAAACGGGTCGCATTATACATGTTATAGTTTCCCCTCTTGCAGGCCGCTGGGCGGGCGGCATCCAATTTTTGTCTAGAGCATATATCCTACACCCACAGAGGTATTCTTTATAGAAATGTAAACCACTATGAGAAGCCGTGTCGCGCACATGAACCAGGCTTCTAGGTCAAAGGTCAATGTCACACTTAGAGGTCTTTGAAAAACGCATGTCCAGAGCAAAACTTCTACCTGCATAGAGGAATTTCAATATAACTTGGCACAAATGTTCACTATTGTGAGGCAGAGTGTTGCACTATTGTGAAGCGGAGTGTCACATGCAAAATTTAGGTCCGTGCAGCCAAGGTTAAGGTCACATATAGGGGTCAAAGTTCAGATAAAGATATGAAAATGTGTTTTGGGACCATTTAGTCATCAGTAATTGAGGGATTGAAACACAAATGGTCATTATCATGACTACTGGTGTGAAGCATGTAATTTAGGTTAATATATGCAAGGTCAAGGTCACTAAAGATGATTGTCAAGGTCATTAAAGATGATAAAATATAGAGATTTTGTCCAGAGCTCTACACATACGGAGGGATTCTAATGAAATTTCATACAAATCTTCACCACTATGAGAAGCCGTGTCGCGCGCATGAACCAGGCCTAGAGAGATTTAAATTTAACTAAGCACAAATGTTCACTATTGTGAGGCAGAATGTTGCATGCAAAATTTAGGTCCCTGTGGTCAAGGTCACACATAGGGGTCTATGTTCAGATAAAAAGATCACTAGAGATGATAATATATCCAGATATTTTCTGGATATTGCCCAGAGAATATCTCCTATATGCATATCTATAATGCCCACATCTCTGTCAAAAGCTTCTGTGATAGGCGTATAATTATTGAGACAATGTTGCCCTTGTTTAAGTTCTGAATGTACATGTACCAATGAATTTTAAATACATTATAAATAAAGCCATGCCAAGTTTCAGACTAAGTTTCATAACTGTGATGGCTGACAATATCTCCAGATACACTTATACTTATCTCCCTTGGATGAACTTTGCAAAATCTGTATGGTCATTTATAATTGCAAGATGGAAATGTTATGTTCTTCATGTACAAATTGGTTTAAACTTTATACACTAACTTCCTAAGAAGTTACATAACTGTGGCATCTACCTTTTTTGAGTTATCACCTTTATATTCAGTTATCTGCCTTTCAATTACCTTTATATACAGTTATCTGCCTTTCATACACTTTGAAAATCACATAAGGAAGCTATCCAGCTAGCTTATACAACATCGGTGGTTCTACTCGGGTGCTCATTTGTGCCTGAATTAATGCAGAGAGAGGCACCTTTAGGTCTTCCTGTGCCAGTAAAGCTGGAAAGTTGTCATAAACCCAATCTCTGGATTGTTGTACTACTCTGTACTGGGAGCAATAGTTGTATCTTATATGGCAATCTCTTTTTATCTTATAATAAGTATATATTTATTTATTTCTTTAATACAGTGCCTTACCAAGTTTCAACAAAGATGAAGTAGATGGTGATATAGAAGGTGTAAAATCCTGGATTGATCAGAAGAAAGATGAACTTTAAAGCCACTAGTCAGATAGACATGTCTACCTTCCAACATTCATTCTTCACTTATTAGTTTCACAATCATTAGTCAACTTTTCATACATACATGATTTTGTTTGGACCATTATCAATATGTAAACAATAAGCAAAACAAACTTGAAAAACTATTAAAGCAATTATTGTATCAGTAAGTGCAAAAAATGACATAGTTACTTTGTATAAAATTGTAAAGTTAGTAAATTGAAAGGGAAAAGGAAATTATTTTGAATATTTTACAGATCTTGTAGCTTCTTGAGAAAATATGTATTGACTGAACATTTTTGCTTTCCTAAATGACAAAATAGAGAAGATTGTTGAGGTTTTTATAGATTAGAGCTAGATCGAAGTTTGTATTTAATTGTTGATACTGGTAAGGATTAAGAGATATGTTTTAGACTTGTTTTATACTTTTATATTATTTTCTTATCTGGGCAAAATGCTGGCAGTATTGAAAGATAATTAATAGTGCCATGCCCTTGCCGTTTTTGTTATTTTTAAAAGTTTAAGTTAAGATTTGTTTTACTAAGATGAAATTGTTTCAGAATGAATTATATGTAAAATAGTAGGGCTATTGATTGACATTATGCAAAAAATGCATGCATGACAATAGTGGTCAGGTTCAAATTTCAACATATTGTCAAGAAATATTTTTTTTGAAACTCCCAACATTTTCATATAGTTGCTTCAGTTTTGCACCGACAATAGTGAATCCACCTGCTTTTTGTTTAATAATTTAATTTTTCTCCTTTTTTCTATTTGATCAGGGATATATTTTAGTTTATTTATGTCAACATAGATTTTTGCAGCATTACCTAGTTTAATAATAAGTTGTTACTCTATGCATTTATTTGACATTGTCTTATTTTTTTGTGATCATTTCCTTCATGTCCTTGGGCAAGATGCGGGATTAGACTAGTGGTTGGTCAGTTATTACTGGTTAGTTATCCAGGAAAGCCAGTCAGGTGGACAGGAACAAAAGTGTGTTTAAAACCAGATAAACAAACAATTTGATATGGAAGCAATTACATTTTTTTATTCTGCTAGACTCCTTATCATTTAAATTCTTGTTTTTATTTCAAATTTGCAATTTTATATATTTTTTATACATTTTTCTTTTCTATTTCTTTACACTTTACAATCAAACACTCTGTAAAATGGTTGTGCAATGCTATTAGTAGATGTAGATTATAATAATATATAATTATATAATAATCAGAAAGTGAACAAATGTCCATTATCATACTGTATTTATAAAAGCTTATCAGCTTTCAAATTCATCAATATCATGACATAGAAACAAACATTTCTGGGCAATGTGTCTTATTGGGTTTTTGTATTTTATTGAATTTACAATGAAAATATTGCAGAAGCTGTATGTATGTGGTTAATCCTGATAGCTTGAAAATATTTAGTTAAAAATTTTGTTTGATAAAAAAAAATGTTTTTTTTACTGAATTGTTTTTTCTGAATCGTTATGATAACAAAATGCAAATTTAAGTTATCTCCCCTCAACTGTAAAACATGGTTTGTGCCATAGAATAAATTTGCTGATGTAAGGGACATCTTCACTTTGGGGCTATGATATTTTCAAAACATTTTTCATTAATTTTGTCAAATTATTATAAAGGTCAAATACATTTTTTATATACTTTTAAACATATGAAAACGTTTATGAAATGGAATGAATCTTTTAGAATTGCATGTTAAAGAATTGCAAGATAGATCAATGCTTTTATTTTAGAAAAAAAAGAACAATAGTTTTATGATCATCTAGAAGAAGACTGAATGTAAAAAGTATAAAAGGACATATTTAACTGATTTCAGTAGTTAATTAGGAATGCATGGATCAATTTAGAAGTTGATACAGCCTGATTTTAAATGTTGTTATGGAATATGTTGATATTTTGTTTAATGTATATTTTGTGCTTTTACATTCCATCACACTTAAAATAATTGGGTGAATACGCTTGTGACACAAAGCTGGTATAGTTTACCTTTCCTCTGGTGATACTTAACTTTTGCACAGAATTTTAAAGTTAAGTCGTGAATGTTTTTTTGCTGTCCTGTTTATAACAGATTTGAAGTGCTAAATTGAAATATGTATTAACTTATTAAATTAGAAATCTAGTAAAGAATTTTGATGTATAACTGATTGGTTTACAGCAACTTATACAGTAAGGACTGTCAAAACTAGTTTTAGATATCTTTTGATCGATGTTATGTGTTATTGTAAAGGATGTTATCACTAACTTAGAAAAAGAGTGATTCATGTTGTGTTATTTCAATGTTAGTTTTCACTTTAACAGTGTTCACATGTACTATCTAACTTATTTTGTGTAGTTGAGTATTAAACAAGTTGTGATGTAAATCCAAAATAAAGCTGTTGTTTCTTTTGTAAATTTGGGTTTTTGTTTTATTTTATAAATCTTGTTAGTCCCCTACCGGTTTACCGGAGGGGACTTTAGGTTTACCCTCCGTCCGTCTGTCCGTCTGTCTGTCCGTCCGTCCGTCCGTCAGTCCGTCCGTCCACAAAACTGGATCCCGCGATAACGCAAAAAGTACTGAAAATATTTTAATGAAACTTGATATATGGATAGATGGCAGTATGGAGATTATGCACGTCTTTTTCTTTTCTTCCTATGTTGAAAATTCTGGTTGCTATGGCAACAAATAGACTGAAAAATATGGCAAATTTTACACATAACCTGGATCCCGCGATACCGCAAAAAGTACTGAAAATATTTTTATGAAACTTGATATATGGTTAGATGGCAATATGGAGATTATGCACGTCTTTTTCTTTTTTTCCTATGCTGAAAATTCTGGTTGCTATGGCAACAAATAGGCTGAAAATATGGCAAATTTTACACATAACCTGGATCCAGTGATAACGCAAAAATTACTGAAAATATTTTTATGAAACTTGACATATTGGTAGATGGCAGTATGGAAATTATGCACATTCTTTTCTTATCTTCCTGTATTGAAAATTCTGGTTGCTATGGCAACAAATAGACTGAATTTCAAGATTTCTGATTCAGTTTTTTCACTATAAGTTCTTTATTTATTAAGGTATTTTCTTCAAACTTTAAATATAAGTTGCTAGTCATCAACCACATCATATGTGATAAAGTTTACAACTCTAGCACAAAATTTATCAGAATTACCTCCCTGGAATTTAAAATTTTCATGAAAAAAACATTGTTTTTTTTAATAACTTCTTTTTTTCTGAACGTATCTACTTCAAACTTCATATAAATGTTTTTTATTATCACTCAACATTTGTGAGTGTTCAATACTCTAGCAAGACTATTTCCAGAATTATGCCCCTTTTGAACTTGACTTTTTTTTGAGAAATTGGTAATTTTCTTCAATTATGATAGGATTTTCTTCAAACTCCCACATCATAATAATATGACAATAATATGACAAGGTTTATAAATCTAGCATCCATATTTCCAGAATTATCTCCTCCTTAAACTTTTTATTTTTCCTATTCGTTCTTTTAACTTTCATTTACTTCAAATTCAAAATAAACATTCAATATTCATACCTTCATTACTAATTGTTCTTTGTTACACTCACATCATGTATGACATCGTTATCTCCTTTTTTTTTAAATTTTGCTTTAAAAATGTTATATTTTGATAACAGGGATGTTTAAAAAATAACTTTAGAGTGTCCTTCAGTCTGTCTGTCTGTCTGTCTGTACATAAAAACTGTTCAGTGTGATCACTTAAAATAGAAACATAAGTGAATGGCCAATGGCCCTTCAGAATGTTGCTTGGGCTCTTACCGGTAGGGGACTTATGGATTGCTTGCAATACTATGATAATTGCTTGTTTATTCTAGTTTACACAAGCAGATTGAGCAGTTGTCCAAAATTGTCCATTGTCAGAAGCCTGCTTGCGGTTAACTCGACTTAGTTGCAACTTTTGGCGTATAGTTTGGTGTATGTGCGTCCGGGTTTGTCCGGTCATTATCTTGCTCATTCTTTGAAGGATTATAAAATAATTTGGTACAAATTTTCACCGTGATTGGGGTGGTGTGTCTAACACAAAACCCAGGTCCGCCGCTCAAAGGTGAAGGTCACACGAGTCGGGGGCAAGACCCGTGTCCAGAGTGTAACTTCCACATACATGGAGGGATTTTGATATTACTCTGGACAGTGAGGCAAAGTGTCACGCGAAAAATTCAGGAATCTTGTAAAGGTCAAGGTTTTTACACCAGGGCCAAAGGGCAAATACTTTCCAACATTTGTTTGTTAGTAAAACTTCTATATACATGGATGGATATTAATATTAGTAAGAACAAATGATTTCCATGGCGATTTGTCTTGTGCAAAATGAATGTTAAGGTCAAAAGAGGTCAAAGTTCATATAAAAATTTCAGAATTTGGTTGTCGGCACTGTATCTTGCTTATGCTTTGAAGTTTTATGCTTAGTGGTCAACATAGTTGTCGAAATGGCTGTTCAGTGTTTGTGTGCGTGTACGTGGATCCAAACTTGTCCATGCCATAACTTCTTTGTGCATGGCAGAATTTTCAAATCACATGAATTGAGTATTTTTAGGCACAAATGTTCATCATGAGACTTCGTGTCATGCACATGAACCAGGTCAGAAGTCAAGGTCAGCAAAGGTGATTTAATGTCAAAATTTTGCCTTGTGTATAAAGAGGATGTGTTACGCACTATTCACCTATTTATGCATCCTTCCCCTTGATCTGAAACTTATAGGTTCAGGTTTGAAATTAGGATGAGTGGGGTCGACATTCTACCCGTGTGCATGTCTTGTACTGTATTTCCTAGTTAGGGTTAAGTTTGTCTATTTGTCCGTGGTTCAAAAATGTGGCGATTGTTACCACTTTTCCTCACCTTTACATGTTGTAATAAAACAGAAGATAGGAATGGTCCTTAACTGGACCTCCAGAAACAATGTTATAATCTTTCTAGCCTACAGAGAGGAAGTAGGAAAACCTTAAAACAATATCATAGCCATAAGGTAGATTCTAATAGAATTCACAGTAAATATCGCACTAAAATACCTAAAACGCCCTGGTCTGTAAGAACAAAATTATTTCAGAGTAGGAAATAGAAATTAGGTTTAATCAATAGACCTTTAACCGCTGATTTTTTTATTTGATTTTTTCCTTTATATTTTTATTTATTTATTTTTCTTTCTGATTTTTTTTTTTTTTGAAACCTGGTTGATTACTAAATAAAAGCTTATAACTGTAAATTCTTATTACGTTGCAATCATGTGGACAAGTGGAAAACCATTAAAGCACGAGAATGACCAATCGTCCAACATCTGTGCTCTTTTCCGCCAAGCACATTTAATATTGTCCGGTCAGTTTTATGGAAGAAATCTAATGTGTCCTAACTCTAGTGTGGACCATTTTTATAGCCTTTATATTTAGTGTTAAGCGGCAAACATCATTTTTAGCACATGATTTTATACATTGTATTACAGAACTTTGCATTTGTAATTTAAACACATTTTCATTTCCCATCAGTGTATTTTGTAACGATATAATAAAGATAATGATAAACAAACTGTTCGCAAAGTACAATAATATCATAAAAAATAATTTCATTTTATACAAACATTCTGACATATCTAACCTGTTTAAAAGATATGATAAGATTTGATTAACTTAACATTTAAATTTTTCATTCAATTGGTTTATCAATTATATAAGCACTATTTTGCATAATTTTGGTTACACATTTTATTTTGTATATTGATAATTACTGATTGCAGATAATAGTATATTGTGTTTTATTGACACTCAAAACAGGTGTACTGGGGTATCAAATTTCATACCATTGACTTATGAAATACGTTTTATCGATCTCCTTATTTACTTCATGTCAATACAAAACTTTGAGCAAATAATTTTTTTAAAAAGGTTTTAAAACAATATAAATATTGTATAAATGTAATTAAAGGGATTAAATTTATCGAACAACATAATGAGGAAATTGTTGCTTCTTACATTTATTTATGTTTTCATCTCTCTACTCTTACCCGAAGGTGAGTTGTTTTTTTCTATATGTATAAGCATAATAAGTAATAAACGTTTTTATGTGTATGTAAATTTGCCTCTAGCTTCAAGTTTCTAAAATAATCCCTCAAATGTGACAGCTTTCGTTAAAGAAAACTACAAAATATAACAAATGAATTATGACTATAATAAGTCATAGACATACCATACCGTTGGTGACGTATATATAGAGATATGATACTGTATTATTTAACGTTCATGCTAACACGGAGGTGAGGTGGTAATATCGCATGCATTTCAATGGCAGAACAATTATATATGGGACTTGTGAATGCATTACGATTCAATATGTTATCGAGTTAATTGTATTATAATTTAATAAAATTGAATGTACATGTAAATAAGTCAGTACTGATTCATAAATAAAGGTAAACAATAATTAACTTAAAAACAATTAAAGAAAAGTAATATACTGATATAAGGTCATTGTACAATATTGTAAAGCGAAGAATAAATTGTAGTACTTTTGGTTATGGTAACATTGCGTCACCGTTAAACAAATGTCACGTGATATACCCGTTCACCTTTTCACATGTTTTAGAGTAAATTTATTTCCCAGTACTATTAAGTCGCTAGTATTCTTGTCATGAATTTTAAACTAACTAAACGGATTTTTTTAATGCTATATGCATGCGTTAAACCAAACATTTTACATTTTTTTAACTGTAAGACACTGTAAACGGACTTAAAAATAATATAATAATTAGATGTGTTAAATCGACTTCGTAGGCTATTTATTTAATGCACATGCATTCAGAACAGTTCTAATAGGTACATGTTACAATTTTAGAACAACATGTAGATGCAAGAGTGAGCGGCAGCAGGACTAGGGCTAGTAGATCACGTACAATATGACGGAGTGGCTATGGGTATCTAAAATTTAAAGTATTCATATTGTTATTTTTTGTTTCTGTGTCGGTATCAGTGTTTTTTTTCTACTTATGTTCAATAAAACAATATGTTAGTAAAGCACACCTTCAAGCTTTATAAAAAATAGAAAAAAAATAAAATAAAAAACAAAAACAAAAAGACAAAACTTAGCAAAACATTATAGATAGGATGGATTATATAATCTTAACCTGCTCAATTTGTGTGCAATTGATTTCAAATTTGAGACTCATAAAACTGAAGCTACAACATTTTCAAGTTTACCTTTTTGACGTTCTTAATGGGTTATTTCTTTTCTTTGTTTTTAGGGATTTCAATAACTTAATACAAAAAAGAGAAACAAACATTGTCATAATAATTCTATAATCCAGCCAAACAACACAGATGTTGAAAAATCTTTACTTATTGCAAAGGTCAATCACATTCAGTTTTAGCAGTGTAAAAGAAGGCACTCTTGAACCTCAATATTCACAAAAAAGAATTCCTCACACGTGTTAAAAATTTGCTCGAATTCCTCACACGTGTGTGACAAGTTCGTACGAATTTGGCACACATTTGTGACTTATTCGTTAAGCACCTTTACCCCCGCCCGGAAACAGAAACGAATTCGTCACACGTAAATGAAAAATAAAAAAACGACATGTTAAAATAGTGTCTAAACGAAATATTCACACATTCACAGTTAATATCATAAAATCGGGAGGTGGTAATGTTTTGGCGTTGTCCGTGTGTGCGCCCATCTGTGCGTCCGAGTTTCGTTTCTGTGCTAGTTCTTGAAAATTAATGGCTCGATTTCTATCAAGAGATGAGAATATCGTTGAGGTTACCGGGTTCGACCATTAAACCCAGAGTTACTACCCCTGATTAGTTAAACAATATACATATGAAGTAATTTTCGTTTCCGGGCTATTTCTGGCTAGATTTTAGTGAAATATGACGTTGTACTGTGAAATAACAACCGTGAAGATAAAAATGAAAATAATGAAAGTAATAATCATCCATAAAAGCATATAGAAGAAATAGAATAAATTTGTTCAATTCGGTGAAATCACTTGTGATGATAAAAATCAATATTTTCACTCGTGGCAGCAGAAAACACGAGTGAAAATATTGATTTTTATGATCACCATTCACCAGTGAAATAGCATGATCACAAGTGAAATAACAATCCATCTTCCACTCAACTAAACAAATATCCTTTATAGCTATTACTATGCTGTCGATACTTACTGGACGGCTTCACTTATAATTTACATACTTCTTAGCAGTTATCGCAAAAAGTCCGAAAGGCTTGCAAACAATACACAAATTATGTTATGGACAGAATATGTTACGAGATAAAACCACTCATTAGTTATGCATTATATACACGACATCGGCTTACTGGATTTCAACAAAATATAAGAACCATCAAAAGGCATTTTTGCTTTCAGAGATTGATCAATTTTGTTGGTGGTTTTGTATCATATGTGCAAAGAAACTTCAGTAAAGTGATAAGAATTATTAAGAATCTAACGAAAATGGTAATTATATTGTCATATTGTCTACTATTAAGTTATTAACCTTATTATAGTAAACATTTTTATTCATTTGACCATCCTTTTTATGTAATATCTTATTCAATTACACAAAATTTTGGCAATTTCAATCTGACAATCTTCCCCCTATCAATGTAATTACTAGTAATCGTATCGGCAATGTCCACCGTATCCCCCAATGACGTCATCCAAGGGCGACAACTTGAATGGGAATTTGCTTGTTTCACTACAGTTCATCTAAAAAAGGGAAAAAAGGTTGGAAAGTTGGAAAATTAGAATTTGTTCACAACTTGACGACTCGCAAAGTTAATCGTGTCATTCCGTAGTAAATCATGCGTCTTATTCAAAATCCTATAAGACTAGGCAGCCAAATAAAACCATGACACATGATATGTATAAAATCACGATTTTATAATCAAAGAGGTTGTTGAGAATTTGAAATATGAATTTGAGCATGAAATACAGATGATATAGGAAAATATAGATCTTCGAGAGGAAAGTAAACCAACAAAATGGACCTTGTTACAAGAAATAAAACTGATTCCCAGAAAAATTAGTAAATCACACAATATAAGTTCAAAGGAAATTAGGTCAATAGTCAGGAAATAATGTGTTAAAGAAAACCTGTGCAAGTAATTGTAAAAATCAAAGCAATATTTTATTGTCCTTTTTTAAGTTATGACATGTTGTTACATTGATGCCACTTACAGAACACCACAGAAAAGATTTTTATTTTAGTACTTGTTTTCTTTTCTTTCCAAATCCACGTCAATAATGATAATGAAGGTCACCTTTGGAATAACCATTTTTATGTTTACTGCTGTTGTTGTTGTTTTTCAGGGGATCAAGCGAGGACGGTGGCGGAGGAAACCTAAGTACCGGTGCTATAGTAGCAATAGTTATTGCCAGTATACTAGTTGTTGCTGTAACTGTAATTGTTGTCTACTGGTTCTGTAGATAATAAGTGTTGTGATTTAACCTTTCTTACACGGATTGACATTGATATTTTACTGTGATACCAAACGTCGTGTTCAAACCGTAAATATCAAATATCACAATTTGAACTACGTTATGTGATACAATATTTTCCCTTATTTTTTGTATTTCTTGTTTCTTATTTGTTGTTCATAAATACTCATACCGTACTACCTTTCTTTATTATTTATTATATGCTGTATATTTGTGTAATGACGAGGAACTGTTATGTTCAAGTCATATTGAATAATAAAATCTGTTCTGTTCTGTTTATTTTAATTAGGTTAATTATACAAATTTTTGTCTCACTGTTCGTACAACAATCAACGAAAGAAAGAATCAAGACGCAGCATTAGCTTTCAGGCTTTGCTCTCAACTTTGTATAGTTTTACCAACACAAATATATTCCTATGAGTGAGCATGATTTACAATTTTGTGTAAATGCATATGAAAAATAAATTTTAATTAATTACCCACTTCATGAAATGAATGTTACCTATTATATTCCTAATAGATAAATATATAGACGATATAACAGAATAAATATAACATTTTCTGTAGCTCTTATTATATGCGGTCATCTTATTTAATAAAAACTTATATTAACAAATATAGTGTTAGTGTAACACTATGAATATTGTATATATTTAACAGATTTGCCATGCAAACTAAACATTTGTTTGCAACATGTGCCGTTTACTCGTTCACCAATATTTCATATTTGTTCAATTGTATGCAGTATACTATTAAAAGATTGAATGCAGTAGATACTTTTCAATAGTGAGATTTTAAAATAATTGCTATGAACATATAACTTATGTATTACTCTATAATGTTTAATTCGGATTGTGCAAGAGCACATATCAGTTTGGTTCTAGTTTAAACCGCAAAGACTGTAATTATTCTGTTACCTAAAGCAGCGGCTGATTTGTTTTTTTACAGTATTTGTTTACAGCATGTTTACAATAACAGGAGACTAGCGACTAGAAACTATGTGAAAGAAAAATATTCCTTCAGAACATACACGAAATGTTGATACTTTTATAAACTAAAAAAAAAGTGTGATTAAAAGTAGTTGTAATAATAAGACCTTTTTGTAAAAAGTTTGCTAATAAAACTCTGATGATACGCACGCTCCTTACGTTATGTTTGATATTGGATTTACTATACAAAAAATACTTGAATGGTTTTCATTTCAGTGAAAATAGCATGAAATTACCAACAACGATGCAAGATAAACTCATATTTTAGATTATCATACTGACGGTAGCAATCAAAGGCTTGACCTTGTTGCAAATATCATATTAATCCTTTATTTTACTTGAAGCCGAGTAGAAGGACAAAGTCTTCTACTATAATATTATTTTCATACTCAATTATATTCATTTACACAAATTATACTAAAAACTCATACTTAATCTTTTATCCAATTCCCTGACCAACTCCCCTCCTTTTCTCTGTTCAGCCCTTATACATGAGAGCCCTGCCGTACTGCCGGACAACAATAGAAACGGCAAACAGCAGCCTCCTTGATACCGAAAGAGATTACAGACAAAAATATTCAAACCACTTGCCCCTCAGCGCTGAGGGTTCGAATCCCGACAGGGACTTTGGATTCTTTCAAGTGAGGAAGCTATTCAGCTAGCTTACGGAACGTCGGTGGTTCTACTCAGGTGCCAGATCGTGCCTGAAATAATGCACGAAAGGGCACCTGAGGTCTTACTCCACCAGTAAAGCTGGAACGTCGCCATATGACCTATACTGTGTGGGTGTGATGTAAAACCCAATCAAACAAATAAAAAAAACATACAAAAATAGATGAAATGATTCAGAGGCCATTTACTGTAAAGTGGGAGGCCAATTACTGTAAAGCACTTTTATGCTTCCTAAGCAAATAAATGTCATATTACTTAGCATAAAAAACCATATACCTAACGTGTTTGATCCCATTCCCGTCAATTTCTAAACGCGTGACATTATGCACCGCTCACACATGGTAATAGTCAGATGCTGGCCTTTTTGAGGAGAAATGATTAAAATACTAGAAACCGTTTAAATCAGCATACTTTCCATTACGTCAGTCTCCGACTAAAAGTAAAGCACATAGAAGACTAGGAAGAACGTATTTATAAAACTTTCTTCCGCATACTTCACCCTATTCCACTCAAAGTCAGAAATATCGATCTATATCAAATGGTCGTACCAAGCGACAAAATATCTAAATACCCGACAAATGTTCTTTAATCTATTTGGCAATTTTTATACTGCTTATAATAGGAATTAAAGTAAAACTTTTCTTAAACCTATATTAAGGTTTATATAGATCGTTTTCAAACGTAACAACTCCCATTACTGTATAGTTAAACGATAAATGACCGTTATACAGATGGTCAGTTAAGTCTAAGCTATAAATTACGAATAATATAACATACATTGAAGTTAAAATGAAGGAACATTTTGTTATGAAAAATTAAAGTAGACAGAAGCGTTGAATTATGAGGAATACACTGTTGTTTGTATTCATTTTTGTTTTTGTCTATCTTCTGTTTCCTGACGGTAAGATTATTTTGTTTCTTTTATTTTGAGTAAAATCTTTATAACTTTATAAACATTTATAATACTGTAACTTCTTGTCATGGAATAATGTGGCAGAATGACACTTGCAAACCAAGGCCAACACTATAACCTAAATGTAACCTACAAAGAGAAAAAACAACTAACGACTACAAAAATAAGCGGCCGTAAATGACAGCAGATCAATCGATAAGCTTAAATCATATACTATAGTGCATTTTTGTATATTGAACAAATACTTTATTACAATTTCATAACATAAATCAACGGATCAAGCAATTTTTAAAGCAGGCTCTCATGGTTTCATCAAATATTGTGAAATTATCGAGGTTTATTATACATTTTGATATAATAAAGATGATTGAATAGGGAGAAATACTTTTCTTCAAACAATATTAAAGCACGTTGGGAATCAAAAAAGCTAAAACTGCTGGGTATTACTTTTATCGATTTATGTCTGATAGTGAAAATTGATTATATATATATGGAAAAACGTCACTCAAATAGATGACGTTGCTGTTACTAAAATAATTATATAAATTTTAAACGGTCGCCACATCAAAAAATGATTAATAAACTTGGTTGTTTGTTTCTTAACTGATTTTTTACCCCACTTAAAACACAAAAGATGTTGTTACATCTCATTGGTCGACCAATCTAAAGGGCGTCTTAGATAACTTGCCAGTAAATACCAGTTTCTCTGCAATGTATCGGCTACTTATCAATTATTTCTGGATCAGCGCTGAGAGACAAAAGACAATTTGTCCGAAGATCGAACCTGCGATACCTGTTTAGCTAAAGCAGGCGTTATATGTTTTATTATTAATATGGCAAGGAAATGGTAATAAAAAAAACAATAATGGTTATTACTTAGAATAAACATTACTTTGAAACACGATGTGCTTTATTCTTTCAGCAAGCGAGGTCGAGGCGAGGCGAGGTGGAGGTCGGTCCAGTTACAGTAGATCCCGCTCGTATAGATCTGATTCCAGATACAGATCATATAGATCATACAGGTCATAGTAAGAAAACCATTTTTTTTGTCATGTAGTATTATAAGAAAAAAATAGAAAAGAGATTGTTTTTTGCTCTTTATTTGCTACATTCGCTGATTATCAATAATCATCTCAGAAACGAATTGAAACTAGCTCTAATACGTGATGTCAACAAGGGTAGAGGGTGTAATCTTTACATAATGACTAACGCATGTAAGAAAATAAAGTGTTCGTACTATCTGTTTGTAAAATCCTATGTAAATATAATATAAATAAATATAATGTATAATCCTATGATAAACTGTATTCAACACCTCCTAGCATTTACTTGCTATTTGTTTGCATGCTTCACTTTTTTTAGCCAGTTTAGATAGTTTTGTGTTCTGGATCCTTTTCCGGAGTTTGACGAAGAGGACCGAACAGTTGCGAATGTAATTGATGATATCGTAAAATAGGATGGAAACAGCCATCTTAATTGATTAAGTTTGGAGTATGAAGGGGTAGTCTTTAATAAAGTTGAAGTCATATTTAAATTATATTTGCTCTCCTACGCACTGTAGAATTCTCAATAATAATCTACTTGGACAATTATACCATTTTGGATAGCGGGTATAACTACATTGAACTTTAAATAACAATTCCGTGTTACCATGAAATGTAATTCTATTTCTTTTCAGTAAATATATATTGAGATGTTTCGTTTTCAGTAGAACAGCAGAGTAGAATACATGTTGATATTTTCAGGAATAATGTTGATTTTTTTTCTCTCGAGGAACGATGTATATGTAGAATTACTCTATTTTCAGTGGAAGTTCGAGTGAGGGCGGAGGGGGTGGTGGAGCCGGTCTAAGTATTGGAGCTATTGTTGGGATAGTGATTGTATCAATATTAGTGATAGCTGTTGCATCGATCCTTGTATACCGTTATTGCTTGTAGATATGAGTACATTTGTTTGACAATTTTTGTGACATGAATCATGAAGAGGATACTCTGACAGTGTTCAGCATTTATGTGGTGTGACACTTTAAACATAAATCTTCTTACATGTCGTCCGTTAGAAATCTGTTTGCTTATCAAAAATGATTATATGTATACAAGTCGTTTCAAAAAAGATGTCTCATCAGACGGTAATTTAGTGGTAGTAACATGTTATCTATTGTGACAAGCGATTGATCAAAGCAAATTTTAAAGAAGTTATCAAACTGTTGCGAATTTAACAAGATTATTTCATTGTTTTAAAAAGATATTAGCGTTATTAAACTGTTATCAATTTAACAAGTTTGTTTATTCCTGTTACATATGAGCTAAATAAAATAGTATTTACATTTTACCAAATTCCCAAATTATGTTAAGAGTGGTATCAAAATCAATTAGCATAAACTTAACACATATAAGAGAGCCTAGCAATTATATGATGTATTTTAAATGCATTTATTGCTATTGAACCTTAAAATGCATGCTTTCATCATACATCTGTGTACGATTTTATCGTTTTATATTGTGACGCCAGACTGAATATCAATATTACGCAACATCAAGGAAATTGACGTTATTCAGACTTTATAACCCTATTTACGATGAAGAATCACAGTAATATGTACATTTATGGAAACTCAATGAAAGTCGAAAGCAGCCGACTTTTTATGCTATGACTTTTTGCAAGATTGGCATGTAAAAAGGGATACCGATGTATCAGTTGGTGTAACTCTATAGGTATTTTTGTCTTTTAAAATGTGGACGGAGGGGTGAGAAGGGTTGTAAAAATAATGAAAGTATTCCATTGGTCGTTACATTGCAATTCATTAAAATCTTCAATAATTTCTGTACTGACACAATAAGTACCTTATCTTGGATAATTTAAGACGCTCAAAACATTTACAAGTCTATTCTTGTTAGTAATT